ATTAACTTGGAATGGCACAATCGAAAGGTTCCAACGCGTGTGGGGCAAATGGTTGTGCAGAGTATGTCGCCGAGGGGATTCAGTGCGACGGCTGTGGAGTGTAGTACCACCGGCGCTGCTCTCAAATGAGCGAAAAGGAGTATCAGCTCCACATGGAGCACAAATCCTTTAAGTGGGTGTGCAAACACTACGCAACGCTAGCCGAGGAGTTCAGGAGAATCCTGAAAGCTTCACTGGCTTCTCTGAATAAAGATAACAGAGAAAAACCGGAAGGTACTACTTTTGTGGCATCCCTAAATAAAAGTGCAGAAATCACAAAAGCAGGAAATCAAAACAAGGAAGGTGGAAAACAGACTATAAGGGGGGGGACAGCTGAACTACCGGGAAATGGTACAACGAATCGAGCAGTTAGAGAGAGAACTTAAGCTGCTAAAAAGAGCAGCGAAGTATCGCTGGGAAGAACTAAGAACTTGCTCCTGCACAATTGTGCGGAGCCAGTTATTAACATGGCGAAGCTGAGGTGAGAGGCTTAGCATCGCCATGTGCAAAATATTTTTAGGCTGGCAGGGTTGCCTTCCAACACCCCATTCATCAAGTGCCACAGAATTGGCCTGTGGAAAGGGGAAAGCGCACGTGGCCCAAGGCCTCCCTTAGTGGTGTTTCCAAACACTAACATAAAAGATCTGCTACTATCACGAGCTTCAAGGATCGAGAATATTACTCAGGGGCGTATAATAATCACCCCTGATGGACCGATCAGGGTGAAGGGGGGAATAATTCAAGCGGCCACCAAACCAAAGACGTAGTTCTTTGCATACCAAGGACTGGATAGCCTTTGAGCGGATCCACACCGAAGGTTCATTTCAGTTCAGTTCTCCCAGGACGAATTGTGGCTCTTGCCAATCGCGCGTCCAGTTCTTTATGTTGTCGGCGGTTTTGTTGGCTTCCAACACTTCGAGTCAATAGTAGTTTCTCAAAGGCAGAATGTTAGTGTGCAGTATCAGATCCCTTATAGTATTTCGGAAAGTAAAGCCTAACGATCAACTTTCAGTACTCAACTTCAGGGAATACCACTGCCCAGCATTCATCTAACCTTCTCTTGAAAGATTCGACATTAATACAGTTAACCACTGCTTCAGGTAGTTTATTCCACAGTGGTATTACTCTGTTTGTGAAGAACCTAGCTCGCAAATTTAGTCTACAATGACGTCTTTCCAATCTGAGTGAATGGTTCCTCGTGCCCCTGGCAGGAACAAAAGAGAATACGTTTTGAAACCTTAGACCCGGAAGCCCTTTGACAATCTTAAATGTCTCTATAAGGTCGCCTCGCATGCGTCTGCAGGCCAGAGAGAACAGGTCCAGGTCCCGCAGTTGTTGGAGGTATCCCTTGTCTTTCTGGCCTGCTACCATTCTAGTTGCTAAGCGCTGTACTTTCTCAAGACA